TTTTGGAATCAGTGTAAAAGAAATTATTATATGAGACCGGAAGTGACATTTACTTGACCGGAAGTAGCTAATTATCGCTCTTATTTCACTCAGAAGTATATAGAAACCACTTATTTATCGCATCAGGATAAAGAAACTGATGATAAGATGCCAATTTTAACTTTGAGTAAACACGAACTAGCTTTTTTTCAATAAATTTAAAAATTGCTGTGGTAAGACCTTCAATTGTTTTCTGAACAATTGGTTTTTAATTTTTATGATTTTTATTCAACATCATATGACTGAAAACCATAATACCAGTCATTTTTATTATGCTGTAGCATTTACTTTGGGAAATATTGAAATTGCATTTATTATTTGCTGTTATGAGACGACCCCCATAATTTGTACTTTCATTGAGAGAGTGATGTTTTTCACTCGTATGTACATTTCTTATGAACTTACTTATCTGTAAAGCTTCCTCAAGTCATATTGGTATAGGGAGTTATAAGTTTTAGGTCCGAACATTTTGTTCGACTACATAATTTGTCGATGAATTCGTTGACAGGCAAGCACCTTGCATAGTTCAGCGCCATATTCATAACGGCACTAAGGCGTTTTGATTGGTCGAACATTTACGGAAGGTCACGATTATTTTATCTTATCGTAAATAATTTTGATTATTATATTCTATATACGGAACAAACATTTCTACAAATATAAAGTTATTTGAGCGTGATTTTGTTTAATTATTTTATAAAAATAAACATTTCATAGCGGCCAAAGTGGGAAAAATTGTTATTGATTTCCATTGGTTAATTGGATAAACTTGCAATTGCGCGGTTGCAAATTGCACGTAAAATGCCAAAAATTGCATTAATTTAAGATACAATTATTAAAACCTCAAAACGCGAGTTTGACGTCGTTCTGGCCAAAGACGTTCAAAACTAGGAGGATATATTCTGTAGAAAGTAAGAATAATGGCAATTTACTTTACTTTTTGTAAAGGTTTTAACATTTAAAGAACACATAATTGTTTAATAACGATTTACGCAAATTCTACCCAAATTTTGAAAATACTTGAGGAAACTAAGAATATTATGTAAATACTATTTTTTTATAATGATGGTTTAAATCTATCTAGAAAAACATAAAAGATAGAGATTATGTTACAAATATTTTTCCGGTTTAGAAATTTAGTACGTTGTTATTATTTTTTGCTGATTCACTGTGCCGAGGCCGATTATGCGGTTTCATGTACTTGAACAATTTAAAGCCAATTTAACCCCAATAATCAAACAAAATTTAGAAACATATTTTATTTATGTTACTGGTAAAGGAATCCAGTAAATTTAAAACAAAGACTTTTTACAAAAATTGAGCGTTTTAAGTGGGGTTTTCAGACAGTGAGACCCATGAAAATGCACATTACTAGCGAAGGAAACTAGTACAAATTTCCGTAAATTCTTGTTAAAAAAACCACAACTTTATTAGTCAATCAATTGGTATTAGAACAACGTATACAAGTAATTGTAAGTCAATCAATTGGTATTAGAACAACGTATACAAGTAATTGTAAGTCAAAGATATTATACTTGATAGTAAGATATTAAACATTTGATAGTTTAGAAAAAGGAACATTTGTTAGTAAACAATAATGAACAGATAATTAATTCTTGCCGACTTTTGTCACTTTCTTTGGGTCACAATTTGAGACAATCGTTTTTAGTCAAAGGAAGCTAGAACACAGGTTCAACAGAATTTTACTTGATATTTATTATCTTTACTGAATTTCACATTTTATTGTATAGGTCAAGTTTCGCAAATGATGAGACATATGATTTTAGTCAGAGGAAACTAATACAAAGTCTCTAATAAAACTTATATCAAAGCTTTCACTGAATCATTGAACTACCAGTTTAGGAAATCTTGTAATAATCAAGTTTGGACAATTTTAGACACTAGTTTTTAGCCAGTGGAAGCTATTACACTGTCTTAAAAAATGTTCCCCTTCATTTTATAGAACATCATATTTTATTAAATTAAGTCTCACTATACTAATTGTGAGGTAAGATGTACTTTTAATACATGAATATATAATATTTTGTCACGTGAGGTCAGATGTACTGTACTTTTGAGAAATAAGTATCTAATATTTTGTCCCATATCTGCTCGTATTCTCAACAAACGAGAGAACGTCATAGCAGATATCGTTTTACTCTCTATGAGTATTTATGTAGTATTTGAATCAATCTTTTAAAAGATACCCTAGGCAACTGTCTATAAATTCACTACAAGTGTTACTTAGTATTGATAAGTTTGTAAGTTGTTTTTATTGGTCTTTAGCTTGACTACATTGTGCAATTTTGATCTCAAATATTTTCTACTTTTATGTGTTGTTATAATATATATAATATCAAAATAAAGTATTTGCAACTTCTGAATTGTATGGTATAAATTTGTAATATCAGTCTCAAGAAGGCACTTAACGTTCACTATAAATAATTGAATAGTTTAGGCTTGATCCTAAGACAAACAGGAATCACTTCTCGAAAGAGAGGTCTGTTGTCCTTCGTTTAAGATCTAGATAGGGAGTTAGGAAGTTTAGGTTTTCGTTTTGGTTTATATATTTAGAGGTTTCGGTGTATTTGTGTTTCTGCCCTTTTCTCTATTGACACGCTACACTATAATATGCATTGCACAAGGTCGTGTTTTTCTTTGACTGTAAATGACGTCTTATACATTAGAAGATGGATGTTAACTGATTGATATTTAAGTATTAGAAACGTAATAATTTTTCATTAGTTGATATGGGCTTGGAACTAGTTTCAGTGACTTTGAGCATGTTGAGTATTTGCAGGTTTGTATTTTGTAGGTTTGTATTTGTATTTTGTGTTTTTGTTTTTTTGTTTTTTGTTCTTCGTATCGATCTGATGACTTTAAGTCCTTTTCAACTGGTTTTTATAGTTTGTTGTTATTTCGTGTTGTTACACCACTGTTCCCGGTTAGAGGAACTGTTTGGAGCCAACACACATGTTTTTAACCCCGCAACATTCTGTATGTCCCTGTCCCAAGCCAGGACCCTGTAGTTCAATGGTTGTCGTTTGTTGCCATATATCATATTTGTTTTTCTTGCATTGTTTTGTACATACATGAGGCCATTAGTTTTCTCGTTTAAATTGTTATACTTTTGTTATTTCGGGGCCTATTAAGCTTACTATGCGGTATTGGTTTTGCTCATTGTTGAAGGCCGTACGGAGACTCGTAGTTGTTAACTTCTACTGATTAGTACAGTCCTAACCTTTTGTCGGACTGCTGCAGACCAAACCAGACCTGCAGACAGGTCAGTTTGACCAGACCTGTGGACAGGGTAACATGACCAGATCAGATCTGTTAACCTGTTCTGTGGACAAGTCTGCTATTTGACAGACCAGTTATGTGTTAGGTCTGCTTTTTGATCGGTCCTATGGATATATTTTTTTTACTAAATTGATACATGAGTGTGATGATACTTTAATGATATTCATCAATCAAAGCAGTCCTTCGTAAATATAGCTCAACATGCAGACTTCTTATACGTTCAGGTATTTCACATCCAATTTTTTATGGAAATATTCTTTATAAAGCACAAAAATGTCAGTATTCACCTCTGAAGCTAACGAAACCTTTAAATAGACTTATTAAGAAGGGATATAGTTACGATACTGTTGTCAGGTCATTAAAGATTGCATATTTTGGCGTCAATATTGATTCACTTATAGGGTCTTTGCATCGGCACTAAACACATTTATTTAAAAACCAGTTGTTGGCATGACACGGGTTATGTTCTTCTCATATATGTTATGATGGTATGATACTAAACCCCTAACGGGAAGGATTGTGTCTGATATTCATATGATGAAGACATAATCTTTCAATCAGTTTAATTGAAGTCTGGAGCTGGCATGTCAGTTAACTGCTAGTAGTCTGTTGTTATTTATGTATTATTGTCATTTTGTTTATTTTCTTAGGTTACATCTTCTGACATCAGACTCGGACTTCTCTTGAACTGAATTTTAATGTGCGTATTGTTATGCGTTTAATTTTCTACATTGGCTAGAGGTATAGGGGGAGGGTTGAGATCTCATAAACATGTTTAACCCCGCCTTATTTTTGCGCCTGTCCCAAGTCAGGAGCCTCTAGCCTTTGTTAGTCTTGTATTATTTTTAATTTTAGTTTCTTGTGTACAATTTGGAGTTTAGTATGGCGTTCATTATCACTGAACTAGTATATATATTTGTTTAGGGGCCAGCTGAAGGACGCATCCGGGTGCGGGAATTTCTCGCTGCATTGAAGACCTGTTCGTGACCTTCTGCTGTTGTCTGTTCTATGGTCGGGTTGTTGTCTCTTTGACACATTCCCCATTTCCATTCTCAATTTTATCTTTACTGTTTACTAGTCAACTTTATATCATGTTATCTTTTTCTTGGAGTAGACCAGACCAAAGTTAAATTTTATAAGAACAGGTCTGGTTCGACAGAGCAGTCCAGATTAAGTCTTCTTTTTAAATTAACATGAATTTTGTCCTAGAACCGATCGGAGCAGTCATAAATCCTGTAACCGCTAAATGTATAGTTTTTTGTCTGTTCCAAGTTAACTTCCACCAGTCATAAAGTCTGGTCATCAAGTGAACTTCATGAACAGGTAAGGACTTTACCCATCTGTATGTCCTTTGGTCTGTCGCGGAAAATTGTTTCTTTGACAATCATACCACATCTTCTTATTGATATTGTTTATACATAAAAACTATTCAACGATGCAAAGATCAATATTTAGCTTATAATCTACAGACGTATGTTTATTTTATAAAAAAATTCAACAGCAAAATTATAGAATTTTCTGTTTTTTGTTTAACTGACAGTTTTTTTAATAGAAAAGACATTCAGTACAAACATACAACCAGAAAGAAGCTAGTTTAAAAAAAATATCTAAATGTTTACCTGTATGGCCTATCACTTGAACTTCTGCCAAACTGAGATAACCTTTACCGCTTCTCAAAATTTTCACATGGCGGCCTGACATTGGACTTTTGCATGTTAACATTATTTCTTGTCCAGTCTTACCAGGTCCTTTAAAATTACTACAAAGTTTCATCTGATGACGATTTTGTCCAACTGTAACCGCTATATTCTTCAGCCGATTACCTGAAACGATATCAATATCAAGAGTCTATATCAATTGTTCAAAAATGGAATTCTTAGACTTCAATCTGTCTGTGCCAATCATCATATCACCGATAGTATTCAATATATCTAGTACTCTTTATAATGAAACACATTTCAGTATCGAACAAGTTTTACTTCAAAACCAACTTTTTTTTAATTTCGTAAAGTATATTCATCTCATTGGTCATCAACAGGAAGTTTAATACCAGATTCTAAAAAGCTGTATTCGATTATCAGGTTATGATATAGTTGATTTTTCCTTTGTTTTATTTGAAAAATAAATATACCTAGAAAAGGTTCTTGATTGTACAGGTACATTATTCATTATGAAGGCTGAAAACAAAGCAGGCAGTTTTACAATTTAAAAAATAAAAAATAGAAGTCTATATCAAGAAGAACGATCCCATTAGAATAAATTCATTTGCTCTATTTTACAAAAGCAATAGTAGGGTTAATGTCTGTTTTTGGCAAAAAGAAATAAAACTGTTTATGACTTCTTCAAAGCGAATGCAACGAAAGTGCTAAACTTAGCTTTAAATTAGACTGTGATATCAAATCTTAATATTTTTTCCCAGTTTAACTCCCATTTAAGGACTATTTCCTGCTGAAAATTACTGACCACACACGTCCACAAAAATGAATTGGTCATAAAAATATAGAAATTGACAAGACACACATCCTAACAGATAATTACGGTGGTTCATGCATGAGGCGAAAGTCGTCAGAGGCAAAATCTGCAAACATTTTCCAAAATTTAGTCAAAACTATGAGTTTCATCGTACGATTGCTCATTTGTGTCGTCATATATGACATTATTGCTGTTGTTAAATGTCAGAACTTGTAAAATTTCTATTCATGAGAGATTTAACATTTTTTTCTCTCATCAAATTTATACTTGAATTGCTGACAATAACAGTTCTCCATTCATGTTTCTTTTTATGAAACAACTGAAAAGGCAAGAACTTTCAGAGAAGCCTTATAATGCCTGTTTATTGGTGGATTTATGGTTGGTTATTTAACATCCGGTGGAAAATATTTCAGGCGTATTTAGGACGCGTTCAAATAATATTTTAGAGAAATGTTAGTGAGCTAGCTCTAATACCCCTCTCCTCCATATTAAATATTATTTAAGACAGTAATAAAATATATGACCCCATATCGAAGAAAGGTTGTTATTCCATATAGGTGTCAAGACCACCAATACATTCACTTTAATTTGAAACATATGTAAAAGTAGCCCTTCCCTGACAAAAAAAGTGCTTATAATGTCATTGTTTACCTAAACTAATCAACAAACTTGCAGAAATGAAACTTTTAGTGAAAGAAAAATATATGTAGACAATTTTGAGCAAAAATATACTTGTCCGTGAGTTCATTCATGTCCAGTGTACAAAGTAGTACCAATATTGTTGACATCGCAAAGTAGACAATGTCGACACAATATTGTACAACGTTGTCGATATCGTTTCATACTCTTGTCTACATCGTTGACATTGACGATATGGCGAAGCAGACAATGTCGACACGATATTGTACAACATTGTCAATATCGTTTCATACTCTTGTCTACATCGTTGACATTGACGACATCGCGAAGAAGACAATGTCGACACGATGTTGTACAACGTTGTCGATATCGTTTCATACTCCTGTCTACATCGTTGACATTGACGATATCTCGAGGTAGACAATGTTGACACGATATTGTACAATGTGTCGATATCGTTTCATACTTTTGTCTACATCGTTGACATTGACGATATCGCGAAGTAGACAATGTCAACACGATAGTGTACAACGTTGTCGATATCGTTTCGACATTGCCGATATCGCTAACACATTACTTGTGTTTACATTGTTAATTTTGAATACAACGATGTCAACATGGTGTTGTACTACTTTGTCGATATCCTTTCATCATTTTGTCTCTGCATAGTTGGCATTGCCGACATCGCGAAAAAGACAATGTCAAAACACTGTTTTACAACGTAATCTTTAATGTCAACATTGCAATGATGATGATGATGATGATGATGATGATGATGATGATGATGATGAGGAGGAGGAGGAGGAGGAGGAGGAGGAGAATGATGATGATGATGATGAGGAGGAGGAGGAGGAGGAGGAGGAGGAGGAGGGGAATAGAGATTTGCAAACATTAAAAAAAACTGTCCATATAAGTTCTACTATTAAGAACATCGACACAGGCATAATATAAATACATTATTTGAAATTAAAATTGATAAACTTCTTGTCTCTACCTGGTTGGCATTGCCGACATAATAGACGGTGTCGTCACGATGTGGTCAACATCACGATGTGGGCGATGTCAACGATGTAGACAGGAAAAGGGGACGATGTAGACGATGTCGTCACGATGTTGTCAACATCACGATGTCGGCGATGTCAACGATGTAGACAGGAAAGGGCGATGACATCATAGACGGTGTCGTCACGATGTGGTCAACATCACGATGTGTGCGATGTCAACGATGTAGACAGGAAAGAGGGACGATGTAGACGATGTCGTCACGATGTTGTCAACATCGCAATATCAGCGATGTCAACGATGTAGACAGCAAGAAAAACGATGTAGACGATGTCGTCACGATGTTGTCAACATTACGATGTTGTCGATGTCAACGATGTAGACAGGAAAGAGGAACGATGTAGTCAATGTTGTCACGATGTTGTCAACATCACGATGTCGGCGATGTCAACGATGTTGACATGAAAGAGGGACGATGTAGACGATGTCGTCACGATGTTGTCAACATCACGATGTCAGCGATGTCAACGATACAGACAGGAAAGGGGGGCGATGTAGACGATGTCGTAACGATGTTGTCAACATCACGATGTCGGCGATGTCAACGATGTAGACAGAAAAGGTGACTATGTAGACAATGTTGCGAGCAGGTATAAAATCATGAACGAAGTTGACAATATCGGCGATCTCGTCACTACATCGTGCACTGGACATACCATGAGTTTGCATTAAAAATTGAAGATTAATGCGCTCCATAGTATACACACATCTTCTTATTTATATCTAAGATTTCCAGAAAACCAGGAGTGATTTTAAGAAGTACTTGACTTCCAAACAGTAGTATTTCATTACAAGACTTTAAACATTGGTTAAACATTGGCATGTAGAATGTTGATACAATTCAGGATATACCTTCTATGAAGTTAAATTTAAGGTAAAATATTTAAAAAGCTGTTAAAATTGGAAAATTTGGTTGAATAGATAGAGATTTTACATTGGTGGTCTGACACCTTTATTAGCCAATGAAACGGCTTTTCAAATTTCAGTCTTTTTTTAGTTTCTTTGTTCTTGACATTAGACAGAGTGACATTAAAAACAAAATAGATCGTACTTTCATTAAATGTGACTATTTTTCCAAGCAAAGTTATCACAAGGGCTCAGTTAGGAAATTGTTATTCCAAGACAGTATTGTATTTAATTATTAATATCCTGACAAAATCTATGTGCATCTTATCACTTTATAGCATTTGACTTCTTTCGACAGTCAAAGTTTCTGTAAATGGTTTTAATTTGTTTGAAGGTGTTATTTTCGATGAATCAACACTTCATTATTAAATGATATAATGTTAATATTTTTTCTGAAGATCATAAAAAGTACTAAACATCAATTAAGATAATAGTTTGATGATTTACCTATTGTCATATATAGAAATGTCTAAAATAGTGTTGCTTTTAAAAAGTTCAAAAGTAAACACTCTTACCTAACTCACGTGAAATTATTTTGAATCTTATCACAAATATATGTTTCTGACTCCTTACCACAGCAATTTTTTCTGTTAATAATATTGATCTGTGTTACATTGACTGTTTTTCCCAAATCAACACTCCAATATGCATTGTTTTCGTTCTTTGTGTGTGTAAACGTGCTTTCCTTTCCATCAACTGCTTTTGAAGCAGCATATTTTGAATGCGCTGTTGAACTCTGTGCTGCTTTTTTTCCAAGGGCATAGTTATATCCTGTAGGAAAATTGACAAAAATTTACAAATTAACATATGGATATAAATCTTCCAGTAGATACAATATTCGAGAGTTTGCATTTCCCATCATAATTTCCTTGATAGAGGGTTGTTGCTTACAAGGTAGCTATTCAATCAAGAGTTCTAATTGTTGAAGTTGATAGAAGAGTTGGTTGATCGTCATTAAATATTTGTTTCACAGATGACGACGGATATGTTTCGATTGTCGTAATCATTATCCCATCTTCTTTTCACAGAATGAGACCTACCGAATAAGACTTATCAATGGGTTTGTCCTTACATGAGCAACACGATGGGTGCCACATGTAGTGCAGGAAATGTCTACCCTTTGGGCAAGAAGAAATGGATGCCTGTAACATATTTGAATTGCTCAAGTTGATATTTTGTGGACGTCGTAGCGCGATTTTTCAGTAGATTTTACCTTTTCCAGTGGATACTTTATCTGTTGATATAAACTGTGGATGTTTTGTGTATATTTAAATGTATTTAGCTATGTCGAAAGACGTGCTTAATGTCAAATCATAAAAAATACAAATTGTTAAGTTTCTAAAAAAAACCTTGTAAGATTGCTGCTGCTATTTTTGGTATTGGGTGCAATTTTTGTACTCAATGCAACACATATCAAAGAAAAAGAAAAACACTTTTACCTATAACGTTAAAAGATTTTTTTTAAATTCTTAGGATATGTTAATTTGAAATATTGCGTCTAGTATTTGAACGATAAGTAACATATTCTTAATTCATGTTTTCATTTCAGGGACCTCAAGGTATAAAATCTTTGAACCAATCACAGATTTCTAAGTTTTCTTGTAACAATGTGCTTTTTCCATGTTTTCTATTACTTGGTTATACACATTAAGCGTAACAATTACAAAAATGTCAATATGATTACATGTATTTTTAACAACTAATGAAAAAGTCGTTATGCAATTGATGAATATAACGTCACAGTACCCAAATTGCACTGACGAGAAGCGTTGACTTGAATCTTACGCACGCTTACTAACGAATAAATATTTGGATGGAATTATATCTATGTATATCGGGCTCAATTAATTTCTCAACACATGCGAACAAAGTATAATAACAAAAATACCGAACTCCAAGGAAAATTCAAATCAGAAAGTCCCTTATAAAATGGCAAAATCAAAAGCTCAAACACATCAAACGAATGGAAAACAACTGTCATATTCCTGACTTGGTACAGGCATTTCCCTATGTAGACAATGGTGAATTAAACCAAGTTTTATAGCTAGCTAAACCTCTCACTTGTATGATAGTTTCATAATTCTTGTAACAAAATAAATGAATTTTACTTGTAACAAATTTAGAGATTCGGTACAGAACATGCCTTATCTTAATCGATGTACACTATACTCTTCATTTTTGTTAATTCTGTCTTCTTATGGATTTTATATTTATTTCTTCCTGATCACTTTAATTTTTGGAAACGCATGCACAATATCGTCGTTTTCAATACAAAATGGCAGAAGTGAAATATATGAATCTATGATAGTAACTAGTATCATACCTTTTGGTTTTGCAGAGATCCCTTTTTTTTGGAGATGGTGGGAGGTGGGGATGGCAACGAGTACTCACTCGGAAGACTGAGCACTCGGGATCACTTTAAATACTCGGATACTGGTTTGCTTTTTAAAAATCTTGAGACATTTCTCCTCACTTTAGTTCCTTTTGAAATATCCCTTTCGTTATACTGATTTATAGATGTAAGAAGATGTGGTATGAGTGCCAATGAGACAACTCTCCATCGAAGTCAAAATTTATAAAAGTAAACCATTATAGGTCAAAGTACGGTCTTCAACACGGAGCCTTGGCTCACACAGAACAGCAAGCTATAAAGGGCCCCAAAAATTACTAGTGTAAAACCATTCAAACGGGAAAACCAACGGTCTAATCTATATAAAAAACGAGAAACGAGAAACGAGAAACACTTATGAACCACATCAACAAACGACAACTACTGAACATCAGATTCCTAACTTAGGACAGATGCAAACGCATGCGGCGGGTTTAAACGTTTTAATGGTACCAAACCTTCACCCTTTTTCTGAAACAATAGTGTAACATCACAACATAGAAAGACACACTATAAAATATCAACTGAAATAGCTTAACTCAATCAAAGGACATATTAACACCAGTGAACATACACTGAACAAATAAATTTGACCTATGATACAATGTAAATTCAAAATACAGTTTACCTCAAATCTAACGTCTTACATTTAAATTCAGTACTTATCTTTTTAAATTTCAGAATAAAAAAAAAATCTACGCATGGTTGGTGTTAAATTACTTGAATAACTCATTTCAAAATAAATTATAAAAAAGTTTACATAGTATATACTTGATGACAAAGTTATGATCATTGTTGAATGTACTCGTTTTAGCAATCAAATTATGAGTAAAATAGCGATAAATACAATGCTGACTCTCTTTATGAACATCCCATCTCCTTTTATACAATTAATAAACCAATTATGTTTTCAAATTTTACTGATTCAGTGTTTCAGAGTTGCGTTGAATTGTTATTATAAATTTTTAATAAACAAAAATTATTGAAGAAACATTTAAATAATTATGCATAAGTAATTCATACTTATGGAAATTTCAAATGACACAGATAAGTGGAACAATGACACAATTCTCCATTAATATTTTATCCAATTACATACATTTTGTAACTGACTGATCGGACCTGGTTACCAAACAAAAATATACGTTTTAATGCGACATTTATCTTGTCATGCTTAAAGATTTTGATGAGCATTTCCTTGTCTATACAAAGATGCCGATAGTCACTTAGTTAAATTCTTGCTTTGAAATACTGGAAACAACTGGTTTCAAGTTTGCAATTTTAAAAGGGTTATTGTTTCTATGTATTTTGTAGTTATCTCCCTTCGCTAACTTTAGAGCGGAAAATGTGAAAAGTATGCCAAAGGGTAAATATAATGCAATTTTTCAACGTTTTTTGTCTAAAAGACATAAGTGGAAATGTGCTAGCGTGTATGTATTCATGATTGAATAAATATTGATATGATTTTGTAATTAGTATTTTATTTCTTATTTGAATTTACTTTAAAATAAAGATGATTTTATTTCTAATTCATATTTATGTTTTCGTTTTCAAATAGATTAATTACGGACTGTAATTAATTATGAGTTGTACCATTTGTATTTTATATTCACGGACTTTGACGTTTGACTAGTTTCGTCTTGATTGTTACTCACTTCTTCCATTTTGATGGTCATTGTTTTTACGCTTGATTTGACCGCACACTTTCTATTATTTCATTGGTCATATGTCTTTTGGCGGTTTTTTTCTATTGAAGTCTATAGTTAATTGTGGATTGATGTTCAAACCGAACAGACGTTTCATATATTTTCTTTAGTCTCATACTTTGTATTATTTGTATTGGAGAATTTCCACGATTATTTCAGGTCAGTTTGCTTACTTATCTCTTTAGATATTCTGTCTATATCTTATTTTCATCGTAATTTCATTACCGGATTATTCAGTATTTCACGCACGAGTAACTTTCTATTTCTATTTTGGCATGACTTCGTAGTAAGAATGTGTATCGTGTGATTGGCGAATGAATGTTGTAAATTATTTAAAAGGTTAACGTAACTTTTATCACAGGCACATTATTATTTTACATTTATGTTACATAATTTAAGCCTGGAAATAAATAAGTGTAAAGATAAACGTAATGAATGGCGAATATTTGAGCAGAATGAGTTTGAGAGTAAATGAGTAAAACGTTAACTTGGTAAATACTTTTTCAGAGTCTTTATAACATTTTTGTGTCCGATTGATATATTTTAAGTACTATATAATTCTGTGCATAGTAACTATGATTTAGTATTTGTTATACAGGTTTTATGACAGTTCTGCATGTGACGTAGTTATACGTTGAGGCATAACCTTTGTTCCTCATACGAGGTAAGAATGAGTGTTTCAGTTGTAGTTGCTTATTATTTTATTAGCTTAGTTATTTTGCTTTGTTTAGCTTAGCTTAGCTTTATTAGTTAACTGCTTTTTGCTATTTGCTTTACTAATGCATATCTTGCTTAAACTGTTTGTTTATAGTTTTATCGGCTTATTCGTATGTTATAATGTTATTGCTAAATGAGAAACTATATTTCTATTTTGCTCTTTTGACAAGTTAAATTCTGTTTCGAATGTCCTAGGAAGTAATATTTTGATTAGATAAGGTTTAATTGTACATTTTGTTAATTTCTTAAACTGTGACGTATTTTACAGTTAATTGGTTAATTTTTGTAAGTACACACATTACGTAAATTTATCAGATTGATATAATACATGTTTTAAAACAATAACTTTATATATGTTGTTATTAAATGTGATATTATATTACAGGGTTTCGTTCGATGCTTCATTATAATAAAACTATCCAGAACCCTACATTAGTCTACTATTCATTTACGTCACAGATAGTGCGACTACAGAAATTCATTAATCATTTAATAGAAAGGAGACGTCTGTTTCTTACCAATTTGCTTGAGGCTTATTTAAAGTACAACATAGGAAATGCGTTATTAGCGGTTAACGATCGACAACAGACGACGAAGCCTGGCGAAGCCAATAGATCACATTTGCCCTTTGGATCAGATTGGCTTAAACGGGCTGCTCTTCATAGTTCTTCTTTTACCCGTGACTTTTGTTGAAGATTATTTTGCATTATCTTTATTTTTCTGTGCATGTTTTGTAGGCTATTTTTTTCTCGGTTTGTCCATTCTTTTTGGCCTTGATGTTTTTCGTCCTTCATCGACTTATGGCCCTTTATGTCTATTCTTTTAAATTTTACAGATTTGTTGTTCCAGAGTTATGGGACTTAAGTGGTCGAAATTAAAAGACATGCTTATTAAGATGCCACCCATTTCCATAAACACTAATATATCCAACTGCTTGACGAGACGGCGTGCCATAGGAT